ACATTTATTTTTGTTACCTGTTCAGTGAAGCAGAAGCATGATATTTTCAACTAGCATGTTCTTATGAGGACCAATAAAACTATAACCATAAAAACGAGAGAGTTATGATTAATTATATACTTCATTACTCTAAGTATTAATATTATGGTGTAGTTGCTGTCAGACAATTTTCTTGTTTCTTGCACTAATAGTGCTCCATAGTAACAGAAGTATATAGGACATTTATGAAACTCACACACCTAAAAACCAAATTAGGAGAGAAAAACTATACCCATCTCTCTCCCAAAGACAGGTTTTGGCAGTGATTGGTATGAAAATTCAGAAATATAAATTCAGCTCCTGACTCTGCCATGACTTTTCAGACTATATGGGACATGATTGCAAAGTCTTCAGACACCTAAAGTAAAGCACCTTTTATCACTTCTGATACCCAAGGCTCCCCTTGCCTGACCCCAGCTTGGCTCCACAAGGACACAGGCGTTCCTGCATAGCTGATACCATCATGAGGATGTCCTTCATGCCTCAGGGTATGTCCAGTGGCACTAGGCATCTGAATTGAACCTGCAGTTTCTCTGTGGTCCCTTCTATGTTAAAATAAGGGTTTATTTCCTCCTGACAGGTTTTTCACCTGTTCTATTGAAAAGTTTAGAGCAGAGTCCATATCCTTTTGACTGAGGAATCTGAAGAACATTGTCACAGAATAACTGTCACAGAATTCACTAGGCATTTTTATACTATTTAATAGAGAAATTCTATTACTGTATTTGTTATTGACAAATGCAGTTTATTGTCCTGAAGAAAAACAAACAAACAAACAACAACAACAAAAAGAAACCAACAATTCAAACGTGTTACTGAGTGAAACTAGAGCTAACAAAAATGAAAATGACTGTATTAGTTAACAGAGAAGTCAGTCTAACTGGCATAAACCTAGTGTGATTTATGGCTTTATTTTGACAACATTAAGTAGAGAGTTAATGATTCAGTGCCTGTGTCCTTGTGCTTAACTGCTGCATTCTAGTTCTGAGGCACATCCAGGGGCAGCAATAGATAAATTCAAAAGGATCAGTAGGTATTAGATATGAAACTAACTACTGTAGCCACTATAGGTATTAATGACATTGTATAGTCTGTATTAAATTAATATAACTTTACTTAACTACTTTTAATTTTTTCTAATTTTTCTTTTAAATGCCCTACAGATTTCTGTCCTGGTTACCCAGACATTTGTGTAGGTGTATGAAAAGTCAAGACTTTATGTAGATGCACAGAGACCATAGTTTCATTAGCTTTTGAGATAGCATAAAATGTGATTTAGGTTTGCAAAAGCATTTTAATTTAATCTTTCTGTTGAAATGAGCAGTAAAGGAACTGCTAATGCAAAAACATTTAAGGTGATTAATAGATATTAATTTGTAAATCCAAAAGGGTTTTTTTGTTGAACCTTGTATATTAGACTATAAATAGCCATTACACTACATCCATGCTTCCACTATGTTGAAGTCTATGTAGTGTGTGCAGCAAAAGCCTGTCTCTGAGCAGGCCATGCTCTGAAAGCTCATGTAGAGTCCATACCAACATCACTTTAAAGTTTGTTCCAATAGTCATCACCCTTGTTTAAAATTCTGGTTCCTTTCTTCAGTGATTTTATCAGTATAAGCTTTTCTCCTTTGCTTTGTCTTTCTTTGGTAGTTTGAAGATCCCCATTCTGATAGCCTTTGAATTCTTTAGAACTTTTTAGTACTCTTCCAAGTTTTGGAAAATCTCTTCAAACATCGATGTCACAGAGTTGCAGGACTTTAATATTCATCTCATCAATGCTCTAATTCTGTTCCTACTCACTTTTCTGCTGCTATATGCATATGAGGATGGCTCAGCCCTTTTCACTGCAGGTTTCACTTGAAGGAGTTGCTGAACTGTCTGACTGTTGTGCTGCTGAAACTGGAGGCACAGTCTACCTTTGTTAGACTTAGACAATACTAACTGGCCTCCTTTGAAAATATAATAGACAAGCAGTATTTTGCTTCACATTTATATTAGACTTCTCTAACTGCAGTTGTCACAGTTGTTCCAGTCTTATGCCATTCTCTTTGTATTCAATAAAAACTAAAAAGTAAAAATCAGTGTTCCAGTAATGTTTTTCCCAACTCGTTTAGCATATTTTTTGCAGGGTAATGAAGCCTGCTTACTTGGAAATATTTCTCCTAGATAAATGTTTATTATTCTCTTCTGTTAATAATACAATGGAAAGTCCTGCAATTTAAAAGAAAAAAAAAATCCTGTTTCTGTTTAAATACAGAGATAAATATTTGTTTCATTTACTGTAGTGTTCTATGTCAGGGATCCTGCATTGTGCTGCAATTTTTCATATTCCTAGCCTGAGGTGCCAAATTTTGCTTGGGGCTGGCCTTAGTTTGCCCTTCAGGAACATCATCTGATTATAAACAGTCTAGAAATAAAAACCACCTTCCTCTGTAATGATTACTTCACCTTTTTCATCATGCTGATGTTCCCATGTCGTTGTGCCTTTTGTTTTACAAAATCATCATGCAGGTTTTTCGGGAACTTGGACAACAGCTGCATGAGTTGTCCTAACTGATTTCCCACAACCACACAATTTTGTTTCTAATCATGTTAAGAAATAATTAATCCCAGAATCCAGTTTGGTTCAGGATGACTTGGGCTATAATGGACCCCTGCTAGGAATCTGTCACAGCTTGCTTTGTTGCTGCATTCATATTTCACATTTAAGTCTTGTGGTAATTGGAGTTTTAATTCTAAACAAAATGACAGTATCTTTAACATCATCTTTTCCTCTCCTTTGCCTGTCCCACATCAAAGTCTTTATCCTTCACTGGAGATTAATGTTTAAAACTTTGTTACATATTTAGAAGTTCATTAACATAGATTTTTATGAATGGAGATCTGTAGTCTCTGAGCCATTGCACTGCAATGCAATTTGTTTATGATTTTTACTGTTTTTTGTTAAATCTGAAATGATGGCAGACCAACACTTTCCAGGAAATCTTCTCAATCTCAACAGCTGGGGTAAAGAAAAATCTCCAAGTGAAGAAATCCAGCCCAAAATTAAATGCTTTACGTGATAAAATACTGATTTAACTATTCACACTACCTTTGCTCTATGATTTGCAAGGAGGATATACAGAACTAAACCATGTAAAACCGTTTTTCTCAGGCTACCTCACACACACAAGATAGCAAGGAGTTAACAAGCACTGGGCTAAGCACTTGTATACTCAATACCTCAAGGCACCCAAAAAGCTGCAGCTGCCCAAGCTGGTGTTAGCTAGGAATAAATACTATTTTTGTAAAATGGATTACTTGAGACAAAAGAATCCTTCCTGATTTGAGGATTGCTATGGTATAAAGCAGGAGAGGCATGGTGATTGCAGACAAATCCAAGTCAAATTTTATGTTGTAAACTGTTAACTGTTTGTTGCAAATTTATAGATTATTCATTATCTTTTTATTTTACTCATGTAAAGGTTTTATGGATGTGATCAGTCTCTGTATTCAGTAACTCATCATGACTATACAAGAAAAAAACAACACAATTATTTTCTCATTGAAATCACCATAGATTTTGTACTATTCCCTGCTAAAATGAGTAAAGTATCTGTATCTTCACAAATAATTTTCCAACAGTGACATCCAGTTGTATATTTTAATTGGTAGAGCTATTCTCAATTCTAATCTATATGTTACTAATTAAAAAAATAAGACAGATAAAAATGCTCTGACAAGCTCAATTACATTAAGTTACTGCAGCCAATTAGATCTATCTGGAGGAGCATATAGGTATATGCTTGTTTTCTATCTCTTGTATTTTTATTTGTCGTATAGTTGACCTTGTTTCCCAATCTAGAACTGGGATCAAGGTTCAAAAGTAGCATCAAGCTTCTATGGTTGCTAGTTATCAAGTTTTAGAAGTGGGTAGCAATACTGTCATAATAAGACTGTGTCATTGTTACAGATCATTTCAAGTTGTATAGATGGTATGTTAAAAAAAAAGCAAAGACCAATACAGAGTCTGGGATACAAAAACTATTTTGAATATTTAGATGCTGTAAATGACAGCTCCAAGACTTTGGAGCTCCCGGTATTTTTCTAATTTAAAGTATTTTCTAATTAAAAGTATTTGGCCATCAGTAGACTTTGAAGGAACTCTACTTAGAGCAAACAATAAGGTTTGTCACTCCTCTGGTCTTCTACCAGTGCTGCCTCCCAGTTTACAATATTAGGTTGTCCTGCTGGCTCATGAAAAGTCCACAAATCAGAAAAACAAAATTGCTGGTCTTCTTCCCCGCATCCTGCAGCTCCATGCTTTGCCAGATACTCCTACTGCTTGTTCCCTTCCTCCCAGCCCATGCTCACAAATTATCTCAGCCTCTTCGTTTCTGCTCCCTTGCCCTACATAGCAGGTAGGGTAGGAAAAAAGTCACCAGTATGTATAATTTCATCTCTGCTGCAGAAATATAACTCAAAGCTGAAAAATGAAATTCTGGCTGGGAGAAATTTCTTGCTTCTCTTTTTCATTCTCCATTCCTATATTCTTGTCTGCATTTTTTGTCACCTTTCCCTTTTTCCTGGCCAGGTTTTCTACTCAGTTTACTCTTACAAATATTTTCATTTTTTTATCAAATTTTGTACAAATAAGTCTCAATATTTTTTATTTCATCTTTTTCTCCTTGTCTTTAAAGCATAAATTATAGCTTCCAGGGTCTATCTTTGACCTATGTTCTAGAGTTTCTTTGACCTTTCCCTCACTTGCTTTCTGCACATCACTGGGGCACCCTGTTCAACATAGGAATGAGAGCTGAAGAAGGCCACCCTGCTGGGAAGCTGTGCTGTCCATCCATCTGTCTGTCTGTCCCACTGCACACACTCCACACCGCACAGGTCTGAAGGTGATCTGAGCTGTGCCCACAGTCACTGATTTCTGCTTGTCTTGGTCATAACCAACCCTGGTGTCATTACAGGCCATGGTATCTGCTCATGCGGCCGATGCGTTTGCCAGGACGGGTGGTTTGGAAACCTGTGCCAGCACTCCAGGAAGTGCAACATGACGGAGCAGGAGAGCAGAAGTCTCTGCGAGTCAGCGGATGGCATATTGTGCTCGGGGAAGGGTAAGAACTGGCAGCTGAGCTACCTCATGTCAGTGCCCTGCCAGAGGAAAACGATCATGTTCTGGAAGACTAATGTGCATGAAAGTGGGTTGTTGTTTAATAACCCTTTCTTTTCAAAGGTACCCATTATTAAAAGGATGTTATATTTGGCTCCATCATGCACTTACATCCATTTTGTCAAACACCCACCACGACCGTACATGTCCAGCAGTGCTGCTTTCCTATGCAATTTTGTTGGTAGCACATAATTTTCTGTATCTGTTTAGCTGATGGTCTGCGTGGAATAGCTAATATAAGCTAAATGTTAGTGCTCCACTCAGTTTGAGGGAAAGGGGCACTACCTGCAGTAACACTGCAGTGGGGGAAGATGGCAGATGTAAAATACTGGGCAACAGTAAGTGGAGGAGAGTGTTTAACAGCAGCGTTTGGTATACTTAATTACTCTGCTCCCCAAGCAGCAGAGGACAAATATGTGTCTGCAGCCCCCCACAAATGAATCCTGAAAAATTTCTCATTTACTAATTTTCATTCAGGTAGTTGCATCAGCTTCAGTTCAGCTATAAAAAAATGCCATGGGGAAGAATAAAAGTTAGAAAATCCTGATAATTATCTGAAATTGTTCTCTGAGGTTCTTACCTCACAGTCTTTCAGGCTAGGAAATTGCATTAATGGAAAAAGGGCTTTTTAGCTCCCCCATAGTGCAAATTGCCTATTTCTGTATATAATATGTCTGAAAGAGAATTGACAAAAAATGGGTGGTAGGACTGACTGGAGGCTAGAATGCACTCACTCCAGATTTTATGTGCCATTTCCTCTATTTGTATGTCCCTTGCATAGACAGGGGACCAGCTGGAAAAAACAGTTAGGAGCTTTCTACATCAGGCAGGTTTCCAGTTTTCCCTTTGGTAACTTTTATTTCAGTGCAGAGGAAATTTAAATAGGGTTTCCAACCTGGCCTTCATCCATCTGCATTATCACTTAGAATTCTCCCTGAAGCACTTTTTCATTTTATTTTGGGGTTTTTCTGTCCCCAGTTAATGCAATGTCATAGAAAATGAGGAAGTTGCATTGTTTCTTTATTTTTTCCAGGTGTGTCTGTCTTTAAATTAGCGTATGCATAAGAGTATGGTGAGTTACTGGAGAAAAGGAATCACTCTGTTTTACGGTAGAAGTTAACTTCTCTTAGTCTTGGTCTCTCTGTGATTTTTTTAATATAAACCATGAAGGTGAGGGAATATGCTTAATATCAATAAAATACACTATGTAAGATTCTAAATAAACATAAACACGAAAAATTATGTTGATTTTTAAAATATTTGTATTATCTACTACCTTTTTGTAAGGATAGCCTGTGAGTCTTACTCTGAGAACAATTAGCTTTGAGCACTTATATCAAAAATACAATTTACTCTGAGGCTTTGGGAGCAGATAACCTGGCAGAAATTTGTAGAGACATCCAGGATTTTTTTCCCTCTGCTGGCTATGCTGTCCAGGGTGTGGTTTGGGATCTGGTCACTGACGTAGTCTGGAGCAGTCTGAAAGTTGCACTAGGTTACAACTAGCAGTAGGCAGGTAGTGCTTTTAAACATGGCTGCTTGAATGGAGGCTCCAAAGACCCAGATTTTCTAGGGTAGTAGCTCTCTGTTGAACAGTATTTACTTTCTTTGGGAATCACAAACTTGACAAATGGAGCCAGGCTCTTCTCTGTGGTTCCAAGCAGTAAAACGAGATGCAAGGGGCAGAAACTGATGTGCAGGAAGTTCCTGAACATGAGGAAGAACTTCTTTATTGTGTGGGTGACCCAGAGATTGCCCAGAGTGGTTGTGGAGTCTTTCTTACCGGAGACACTCAAGAACTTTCTGGATGCAATACTGCTCAATGTGCTCTAGAGAGGTTGGATCAGATGACCCCTTCCAACCTTACCCATTCTGTGACCCTAAATCTGTATTCAGCAACAGTGGTAGGATTTTTTTTTTTGGTTGAGTTTCTTTGGCCCCCAAGCACATGTAAGCTTTCAGTGTGATGGAAGGTTGCCCTGAGGACAGTCAATATAATAAAGCTGTGTCAAATTAGGTGCTATAACAGCTTTATTGTAGACACAGCTGGTCATAAGGAAGTGTTTGTTGCAGCAGAGCAATACCTGCGTAAGGTATTTCTCAGCTGTGTGTGGGCAGTAAACATCCAAGCACGCTACTGTCTCCTACCTCTTCTCTGAGCAGGACGAGGATCACAGGCCTTTTTTTCTTTTTTCTTATAACCTTTTTTCTTTTTTTTTCCTTTCTTTTTTTTTTCCCCCCTGGTAAATCTATTTTTGCTGCTAAGATATGTATCTGGAGATCATGTTTTACTGGGTACTCATACTTTAAAACACTGTTCATAGCTAGTGAAGCATTACCCTAATGGCAAATTGTTCTTTCTGATTCATTACAATGAGAAAAAGTAATGATTACTTGTCAGATAAAAGTGAATTTTTCTGGAAACATAGCCAGGATATGCAAGTGCTAAAATGGACTTAGGGGAGCTTGAGCTTCTTATGTAGGACTGTGAGGAGTGCTGGTTTTCAGCAGATAACTGCTGAACACTATCAGAAATTGCACTCTGCTAATATAAGCAAAGTTGGACATCCACATTCCTAGGCTGTTTTTAGAATCTTGGCTCTCTGACTGTGCCACCTGTAGTAAAAGCTCTTCCAAAGGAAAACAGCAACACCCACCACGCTGCTGTCTCCCTGGCATTAAATATAGGGCTGCATATGGCGACTGTAACAGTGCAGGATGTGGGCAAGGTAATGAGCCAAATCCCATCCGAAAGGATCTGGCTGGGATCCCAGGAAACACCCTACAACTCATTAGACTCATTTTAATTAAACTAAGGAGCCTCCCAGAGCAGCATGCTCTGTTCAGGGAAAAGGCTTGATTCATTTCCCTAACAGATCTTATGTTACGGAGCCTGATCTTCCTTGGTTGACTTGGTGTTAAATTTCCTGTGTCTTCTGCAAAATAGTTTTAAACATTGTGGGCATTCCTCAGTAGCAACATCAGTGCTTTTTGTGCAGAATCACTTCAAGTTTCTTACAATGTAATACTCTTAATACCTACTTTAATTTCACTAAAATTATCATACTATTCCTCATTATTTTCTGCTGTCTGTGCCTTGCAGTTTGTATAAACAGAGAGATTTGGTTTAAATTACCCTAAAGTAAGTCTTAGTGTACCTCTTATACAGCAACCATGCAATACATATGCTATTCTTCACTACCTTTTTATACAGTGGTATTTTTTATCATTGTAGGGTTTGTCAACATTTTCTCTGCTGGTGGCTCAGTAAGCAAAACTCAGAACTCACAGAAAAAGTAGATGCTTAATCAAATATTCCCATCCCCAAATGTTCCAATCATTAGCTCTTCCTAAATATATTTGCATGTTCCATATGTTACGAGTTAAAACATTTCTCTAAAATTAGGCAATGAGTTAATTTTTGTAAATTTAAAATAAACATTAAGTTACTTACATATTTAATTAGAAATTAGCTAGTCTTCTGAGGCTGTTACAAAGTTTTCAAAAATTAAGTTTCAGTGATCACAGACACTTCAGTATTTACAGGAAAAAGCTATGGAAAATTGGTTGATATCAGCAGATGGACTTTTTTTTTAAAGTGTAATAGGATCGTGAATATGGATTTTTTTCAGAGGTCTCTGAAAGAACTGGAAAGATGGAAAAGCATAATTTTATAGGCTTTAGCTAAGGCCCTGTTAAGTAACCCATGAATTCTATTTAGGTTGTATTCTGACATAACTAAGTTTCCTTCTATATATTTTTCCCTTAATATTGCATTAAACACATTGGTGACTTTTATGGGAATCATTCTGGAAATATTGCAGGACCCTAGGATTTTCAACTACATTTAACTAATTTTTAAGTATGTTGTGTTAAATGTCAACTGCTTATTTGATGACTTTTTTTATAACTCTGCCTCTGATAATTGAAAACTATGTGTGTATCCTTTACTATAATTTATTTTAGGGTTTGATTTTTTTAATATTGACTTCTAATGTAGCCCTTTCTTAGGGCTCAGTTCACAAAGGGATTTTTGCTCAGCTGTTACTAAGAGCCCCACCTTAGCACTGTAGGTGTTATACTGAAATCTGTTTAGGGCCAGGCTGCCAAAGATGGGATCTGAAAAGCTGAGTCTTTTCAGCTAAGTGTTGGAATTATCCAGAAGGAACTACCATCTCCTAGTGCCATTTCTAGTTGCAGAAATGCCTGTCTCACCCCATTCTTAGGCTGCAGTCTTCCTGACACATGATTGTCTGAGGGCAACTGTAACTTTCCAGGATTCAGAGCCATGAACCTTCTCCTGAAGGTAAGGATGTCTCTGAGTCTTCCCTTGAATGGAGATTTCTGGTGCTCCATGGGTTATGGCATCACCTGAACATCACCACAGAGTCCCTCCTTTCCCTGTAGGGGTGTGACCTGATATCCTGGAGAAGGAGGAGAGCAGCTTGTCCCAAGAAGGGTCATTAGTGTACACTGCAGGAATGAACCAAGTGCTGAACTGCCATTATGTGCTAAAACTCTTTCTGACCCAGAGCAAAAAATTAATTAGTAATTCCATGGGAGGTGGAGAAGCTTCGTTTGTGGTGATGAGGATTTTGGGGGTCTAAATATTAGTCTTATGCATTGCTGGTCTTTTTTGGACTCACCCCTAAATTTAGATGAGGAGGACTATTTTCTTCATGGGTGTGATTTTATTGCCTTCAGTAACAGTGGGTCAGGGACAATTTGAGCTTTTCTAGTTAAAAAAAAGAGAACAGTTTCTGGGAAGAGAAGCCCTGATTGTAGGTCTCTGAAACCAAAAGAAATCTTCAAAGTGTGAGGCTTGATTAAGTGAAATAGCAGGATCAAAGCATTAGTAGTAACATCCCACCATATTCTAGCTCATGCCAAAAGAATCCTTTTATTCAAAAGACTTTTAGCTTGATTATTTTCTTTTCTGTAATAGCCTCTTAGGTAGCAATATTGTGCATATGCACATGTGCATATGTGTGCACGTGTGTGTCTCGGGTTGTTGTTTCCTAGTCTGAAACTGACAGTGCTCTTTGACTGCGAGTAACAATTTTTGTGATTTCAGGTTCCTGCCACTGTGGAAAGTGCATCTGTTCTCCCCAGGAATGGTACATTTCAGGCGATTTCTGTGAATGCGATGACAGAGACTGTGACAAACATGATGGTCTCATTTGCACAGGTGCAGTACAGGCTAACACTTAATTGCTTCAGGAAACAAACTGTGTTGATGGGAATTATGTTAGACAAAGCCTAGCTGCTTCTTTCCCCACTGACAGAGGAAGTGCATTTGCTGGTTATTCAAATCTGCTATAATTGTTTCTTCATGCAGGGTGATAATCAACTTAAGGTTTCAAAACAACAGTTGAAAGCCTGGGCATGAATTTAAATAAGTAAGCCAGCTATGAAATTCATCAACAATTCTCATTGTAATAGAGGACAAGTTACTGCTTTTTGGCAAAGGACATAGTGTCAGCATTGCGATCATGAGGTTTCCTTAGCCTTTGTTCTTTTACTGGACATTCTATGTGTGTAAATTTAAGTCACAGACAAATTCACTTGTCTGATGATCCTTGGTGGCTCAGAGGCGTAATTGTGTGGGTTAACAGACCTTCCTGGCAATCAGACAATTGTTGGTGGGAGCCTCAAATATGCGATAGCTTTTCTTATGATGTGATGGCTGATGATTAAATTAATGGTTATAGCAGCTTCACCTTAACACTGTCATAAAGTTGAGATGGATAGAAATGGGCAGGGTGTCAACAAGCCCTCACGATAAACATAGTGACAAGAAGCAGCATGGGAATTACTAAATCAACTAATTGGCTTCTTCCTGTTACAAATCTTAATTTTAGAAAATTTTTGCTAGCAATTGTTAGACGTGGCAGAAATCTGCAAGTTGATTAGAGTGGAAGTGGGAGGACTGACACTAGTAAACTATGTGTTCCAGCTAGCCCTATTAGCAAGTGTCCTTTTCTGGAGGCAAGTAGCCAGTATAGTGGCAGCAGAAGCCTTATCTTCAGCTGTAATGGCTGTTCATGGATCTTCATAAAGCCGGTAGGAAGAGGAGCTCACACTGGCAACTCATGCTAGAGCTGTCTCAAGCTGAGCACTCAAGTCATAAAAAATATTTAAATAAAATGAATATGGAGGTGTCAGTATGTAATGTTTCCCTACTGTAAAATAGGGCCAATGCATTTTTCACTTAATAGAGAGTTCAAGATATGATTTATTTGTATAGCACTCTTGAGAAGGTAGGTGTAAAGTTTTTTAATGTTTAGAGTGATGGTTTTATTGCTATTCTGTTGGTAACTTTTTCTTTCTTCATAGTAGTCAAAAGTAATCTTGTTTTTCCTTGTATCTGGAGGCACAGTGCGAACACTGAACCTCACCAGCTGGGTACAAATACTCATGTATACAACTGCACTACACACCACACAGTTACAGTATTTGCAATATGGCTGATGGAATTATTGAGAGAATGCTATTAACGCTTTGTAAATGTAGGTTTGGGGCGGTTTCTTAGTGCAATGGTACAGTAATTGCTTCCTTCCAAAAGGAAGGAAAAAAAAGCAGTAGGGGAACAATAAAGGAACAATGCAACTACTTTACCATGGCTTTTTACTCCCCATAAAAACCATTTTAATGTAGTACATTTCAATCATGATAATTGCCCTTTATTCATTCTGTTCTAGGCAATGGTGTTTGTAGCTGTGGAAACTGTGAGTGCTGGGAAGGATGGACTGGAAATGCTTGTGAAATCTGGCTGGGAAGAGAATACCCTTAATGAAGGATGCCAAAAGACTCAGGAGGGTTTTTTGTTTGTTTTTCTTTAGGCTGCTAGAACATTTAATTTCAGAAGTGCTCAGTGTGTGGGCGTGGGTGTGCACGTAAGCACATGTACATGGCTGTAAGTACATTAGAACACATTTGAGGACCTGCTCCTAAAAGAAATGCATCAAAAAAACTAAAAAAGGGAGCAGGACAATCCCAGCTCTAGAAGGTGAAGTCATAAAATACTGGCCCTGTGGAACTTCTCCAGAGGTTTTTTTTGTAAATTCAGTGGAACTGAGATTATATCTCTAATGCCTGTTTCTTTAAGCAACCTTTGGAAAAGGTATAAGAAAGCCTTTTTTAATATTATTTACTTGGTCATCATCTCTCCTTATCAATCTGCAACAATACCCCTGTAGAGGAGTAACACTAGCTGAATATTTGTCAAATAACTAGTTTGATTAATTTTATGGTGTTGGAAAAATATATTATTTGACCTATCTTTCTTTCTAACAATCCTAATCATGCACCAGCTCATAAATTGAAAGAAACTGTAAAGAAGCCTATAAAAATATTAGTGATTTTTTGTTTGGTCATATAATTGTCTGATATCCAATTACATGACAGCCATAAACTGAAGACCCAAAATGTTTGAATAGACCCTTTTCCTCAAAAGAACTTCTTAGTTTCTGTGGTTAATGTGTCAATAAGTTGGTTATCTAATCTACATACTACAATACTTTCAAATACATAACCTATAGGAACATAAGGAATGAAATTAATAAAGATATAAATGTATGATTGTCTATTCTGAATATGTATTCTGAACTCATGTACTTCTATCACACTGTTCAATGTAGGTACAGTTGCCTTTTAAAAGTAAAGTAAATGAAAATTTGTTATATTGAAAATGAAAATACGTCACGTTGAGGATGAAAATTCTGTCTACTATTTGAAATCACTGTTTAGAACAGATTATGCTGTCACACATGGTATTCATTGAATTTAACTGCTTTTATAGAAGTGGGAAGCCTGAAGGTCAACTGACTTGAAAAATCATCTATGCTATGCAGCAGCTTGGTCTCAGCCAAAGATGTTTGGACAATGTCAACAAAGTAATTGAAGTTTTAATACAGTAAATACAAACAAAGCAGTGGTATGAACAAAAATTTTATTTTTATTTTCCAATGGTGAAATGCTGCTCAGTGTGAAATTCACATTGAGTAATGAATGATGCACAACTATTGGGACTTCCCTAACTTATTTACATATGAGTCTCTTAATTTTTTGTACATGTAGATTTGGCAGCCCTTGAATTCTTTAGAGCAAAAAGAAGAAATATACATTTTAGTTTCAAAAGTGTTTACATTTTGTGAAATCATGATTGAGTGAGAAAACTGATTAAATGGCTGAAAAATACTTCTTTTAGATACCAAACTGTAACACTGGGGTTTAGGTGCCAAGGTCCTAAGAAGAGGTACATGGTTCAGAAATAATGGAACTACGTATCAACCAAAAATGTATTTCCATTATTAGTCTAGAAATTAGTTTTCTTTTAGAAAGGACAGTTTTGAAATAGGAAAATACAATGCTACAGAACATGTAATAGAATGCAAAATTTCAAATTTGTTTAATTGCCTTATTATTGCCCCTTCCCATGTAGCTTGTTCTCTCACTTACCAATTTTTTTTTTTAGTTAGCCTGTATTATTTCTTTCTAAAAATGAAGCCTGTGAAACCCATGTACTCAGGGAGCATAATCACCAAACATCCAATATACATATATGTTATGCAGATAAATAATGAGACATACATCCCAAAGCTGTTAGCTGCTCTCTTATTAGATAATCAAAAGATCAGGCAGAGTTCTAAAATATATTGATACAGTATAAAGCCTCTTCAAAGTAAAACTCATCTTGAAATTTAGTTTATATACTCGTAACTCTTAAACTCCATGGAACTGAACAGAAATATTTTCTTAAGTTTTAGCATATATGCATTTTGCCAGCCCTGGTGTCTGGAGAGCACAGATTGTTGCTTTTATTTATATTTATGAATACTGCTGACCTGAATCACCTTATTATCAGTGGGGTTTTTTGCATATACATTTGTCTGCTGGAAACAGTGAGGGATACAAAGTTTTCTTTTATTTTCTTCCATTTGTATTTAGTACTGTAAGAAGAAAATATTAGATAATCAAAACCCTTATCTGGTGTCAGTAGATGCTTTTGACTTGTTTCATGGCATCATAAGCAGATTTATATATACTGTAGACCAGCTGTGGTATTTCAGGTGCTCATTCATATATAAAAGAACAATTCTTTAGATGGTTGCAGTGTCGTATTTGATGCATTTTACTTTAGAATTTGCTTTAACTTTAAATTTATATACTTAAAGAGTGTAAGGTAATTCTTATTTCTAATTTGTTTTTTAAAAAAAAAAAACCCCAATCAACTCCTACATTTTGACTACTGGACGGATTATTTCAAAAAGTGTTATCCAAGTTGTTTTTTAAAATTACATATGGACAAAAAAGAATATCTACAACAGTCACTCTCAGTGTTTCATGAAAATGCAATTATCAAACAAAAAGGTGTGATTAATGTAAAGTATTAACTAAGACTATTACAAATGTAATGTACACATTATTTTTTCCAATTTTTATTCTGTGTCTTATAATGTTGCTTGAAATTTCCCCTGCTCTTCATGCTGAGGTCACTGGTGGTGTAACACCCAGTAGATCTGTTTTGTGGCTAATGTCCTCTCTAAAAAAATAAGATTGGAAGGAATAAGATTATTATTCCACATATGTGAATATAATAGCTGTAATATCAAATTGTTATTTTACACCTCATTCCCTATGATGGGAATTCTAGATACATAAACTGTAAAAGCAGGAAGAGGTGTAAGGAATTGAAACTTACTGCTTGATTCTTTAAAGCTAGTAACTATAAAAACTGGCTCCCAGGCCTGTGACAAAAGGCAAAACCAAATTGGATAAATGGGGATATTTTACTGATTAGATTGATAAGCCTTGTAAAAAAATATAATGGCCTTGCTTTCTTATGAGAGAAAGAACACAATCCGGATAATGCCTACTGTATAAAACTTATCTGTAATATCAGCTATAAAACAGCTGTGGATTGATTTGCTTCTATTAATTATTAACCTGCTTGAGATCCTTTTTTTCAGTGGCCATACTCTCTTTCAGAAACATGCAGATGAACATTTAATCATGTACCTGCTCTCACTTTTCTGATGCTTTGCCCATTGCTTCTTTGCAGAATGACATCTCACTTTGTAGCTAAATGATACAGCTACGTGATACTGGGATGAAGAAAGCTAAGTTGAATGTTTCTGTGACTAGGTAACAGAACAAAAATTTCATTACAACTTTAAAAATAAGTCACAGCATTTGCATTAGTCATCACCAAAAAAACCCTGTTATTAAATGTTTTAGAATGCATTGCACAGAATATGAATTTCTCTAAAGGATCATTTAAAAGAAAGAGAACCTTCTCATTTAGTCTAATTTTACTTGCATTCCCAATTGAATGGAGCTGAATAATTTCTTCTTCATACCAATAAACAGAAGGATCAGCAAGACACACTTTTACTGCGTGGACCAAACTGCCTGATTTCATACCTCATTGCTTAAACTAGTATTAAATCAAGACAAAAAGTTTCCCTACATATATATATATAAAGCTAGAGTTCTTGATGTTGCTTCAGATATATGCCATAGTCAAAGTGAACACCTTTACTTTATGGCGGGGAGGGAGAGTGGGAGGGAGGGAGAAGTTTAGTAAGAATCAACATGACTGCACCAGTCAAAGTTTATGAAAATGACAGTATATTAAAAAGTCATTTGAGAATGGCTAAAACCCCCAGCAAGTTAAGTTAAGCAAAGGCTGTGTTATGTGAACCACAAAGCACTTAAAAGGAGCTAGAGCCCCTTCTATAGGCTCTATCATGTGAGAAATCTCATAAGGACTCTTGTGTATTTATAAAATTTTTGAAGTACAACAAAATGGTGCTTTGTTGAAGTAGTTCATATCTACTGAAAACTGGATTTCTAAAACTGTGCAGGTGTGACTGATTTTGCCAAATAGAACTGTAGCTGAAATACAGATTAAAAAAAAAAAAAAAAGAAAAGGAAAGAGATAATGACTATGTGCAGTGTTAACATATAAAATGGTAAGATGAGGTTAGATTGCTGTGCAAACAGTCTCTCAGAGATTAGAGAAAACCCAGAAGAATAAAATACAAAGCAAGCATGCAAAAGATCTGGAAGGCTGCAGATTCACAGACAGCTGCACATGTAAGTACAAAACCCCCAGTCTATAAATACAAATTGATTCCATCAGGTTTACTATACAGTACTTTAGTAGTAACAGACAGTTGAAAACATCTTTCACTTAAAAGCAAAATTAATTTTAGAGGGAAGGAAATGGTGAAGTCTCATCCTGGAAAACAGCAAGAGAGGTATTATATTAAGGAGCTAAAATTTTCTTTGGCATGGTAAAGGGGGAGAACTGAGTTTGCCAACCTATTTACATGAAGTTTCACCATCCTGTGGGCAGTGCAATGATGTTTTGCACAGTCTACTTCTTACATAAACTTTTTTGTTGGTTTTGTATATGCCTTCATATAAATGCTTTATTCATCATTTTGAACCTGTGTATACATCAAATAAGAATAAACAAACTGTACAATGCAAACTCTTTGCATATATGTATGTAAATTTAGTAATACTGACCAACAGTTCTTTGACAGATACAACCTACAACATGCAGTTCATCCTTGCCATCCTCCTTCCATGCAACAGATGAGACAAGACAAAATAAAAGGGAAGAAAGAAAGCACAAACGCAACTTTTTTATGTTTAAACAAAATGTAATAAAAAAAAATTAGGACATCTATTCATTGGATTAAACATACATAAGAATTTAGCCCACAGCAACAAAACCAGAAAACAATAATTTTAAAAAATGCTGTATTTCCAGTATGCACTAACAACTGACAGAAATTAAATCTGGCCTTAATTATAGCCTCCCAAAGTGGTTCACAGATCATAGTTACTCAGGATCAAAAGGTTAGTGTTGAAAACAATACTTATATAGGATCAGGCCATGAACCAGAATCTCCTTCCTTGGCTCAGCCAGGTTTCTAGCCCTGTCTCTCCTCAGGCTTTTACATTGGGGGAGTAAAAAGACAGCTGGATAGGACATGAACTCGTGTATTCACTCCTCATGAGTCAGGTGAGAGAGAATATAGCCTTCAGCTGTATTGTTGTCTTACTTGAAATATTGTGAAGTGCTCCTCTTATAATTGTAGGAAGGCCTGGGGCTGTCCCTGGGACCCAGCTGATGGTACAGCATCATGGCTCCTGCCTCTCATGAATCTTCCAGGTGCAGAGCAAGCCCCCAGCTCATCATGTGAGTTGCTTTGGTTTGTTTTTTTTTTTTTTTCTCAGGGATAGTGCACAAATCCCACTGGACCAGATGGGATGAGAAGGGCACACCAAAGTTTTTAATAAAGTGGTGTTTTACCCATGCACACATATTTAGTGCTAGCAGACAAGGGCACAGTCTAAGTCAAAGTTTCTTTACACTTTTATCACAGTTTTAGATTAGGTTTGTATTTTTTTTCCCCTACATGGATAGAGGGCTTCATGCTTAACTTATTCCCTCCCTAGAAAGACCCAACATCAAGCATTAGCTTGCTGTTCTCATAGCACATGTACAAAAGGAAGTCTGACTTACAGAAAAAATAAAAGTTTATCTAGAATTTAGCAGCTTTACAGTAGCCTCCTTGAAGAGTGCACTAACTGTTTCTTATGAAAACAGAACACATTTGAAAACTAGTGTGAAGAGTTCATTCAGACTGAATCAGTTGTTCAGCTGAGCAGACAGGGAGTTCGAAATAACCATCAGCCTCTCTTAGGGACTTCAGCACAAAGATGTGATAAAACAAATTGACAGAAATACAGTGCTAAAAAGGGAACGGATGGTTTCCTCTTTTTGTCTTTAAATATCAAGGTAACAGCAAGAGGCCACACAGTTTTCCAGATTGAGATACAGTTTGATCTTTGCTGCCATTTCTGAGAAATAAATTCCATCTTAAGCATACAGAGAGTGCCCATATTTTTAATCTTCTGAAAGCCTGTGACTAAGCATGCAAAAACTTCAGTGGCACCTCTGTGGCATTCTCTAAATCTTCCCTTCCCCATGCCCACTTCACTCCACAACATTGGCTCAATTGTTCACAATTAACTCAAAGGGTTAATGTTGTTTCTGGTAGTATGATCCAAGGCTTCAATTTTATAATGCTTTTGATTTCTTCTAGATTGATGTAGGAGAAAGTACAGTATATAGAGATCAAGGCAAGGCACCTTCAATCTAGCAATTTGGTGGGCATGTTATCCTCAGAAGCTGGGTGGAGGTACATACCGGGATATCAGTGAAATACATAGGACCGGACTTTGCATGCTTAGCTAAAAATAAAAATAAACTTTTGTAATATGTCCAGTTTTAAAATTTTTTTTTTAAACACCAGAAATATTAAACTATAATTTGTAACTACCCTTTGCATTGGTGCTGCAAAAAAGAACACAACAACATCCTTGCCCATGCTTTGCTAAGTAGGTGTGGAATTCAGCCAAAAATAACAATGGCATTGAGTTCAGTTCCTTAAAAACAGGAAAGGATTATATTTGAAATGGATTTAGGTAGCACGATTCTGATTAGTCTTACTTATTTTTTTTTTTTTATTGGTGGTGGTTGTTTTTCAAACAATGAAGATTTAGTAGATGAAAAATGAGCCTTAATTCAGGCCTACAAGGCCTACAAAATTCTTTGGACCCACTTTCCCAAAAGTGAGTGGGTCTTGCTCGCTGGGCAAGGCAAATGTTACCATTACCAGTAAGCCTGTGATATGTATAAAACACACACACAAAAAGAAACTATAGGGGGATGCCAAACACGTGTTTCATAAAACTCCCCGTTGGTTGTGTTTGACACTCTTCCCTCCACTATAATGCCAACCTCAGAAGCACAGTATCTTTTACTAAAGAGTATTCACATTTAATCAATATTGTAAGCCAGAGACAACGATCCTATTCTTTATAGATATAATTTGTAATAATAGATTTTTGAAGGCTTCCTGATTCCCTGATTGCTTTCAAAACTAAGCCACCGGCAACACTTAAGTTATAGAGAAACACAATCCCTGCAAAAGGTCACAAACAGTGGAGCGAGCAGCCTTATAAAAAAGGGAAGAAGAGAAATTCATAATAGCACAGGTTTACAGCATCTAACTAGAAATTACTTGATTATTTGTGTGCTACAAAATAGAACTTAAACACATGGATTTTGCTGAAAGTGGACTCAAAAAGGGATTATGGGCAATTGTCAGCAGGCAAGGTATCAAGTGTACTTGTGAAGTATGTCATTCACATGAAGTGTCACAGTCACAGAAAAGATATTAAAAAGGCATTCCAATATCTGGTAGGGCATTCCATGGTCTGAGTTTAGCTGGTTCATCCAGGTGTCTTCTTGTTTTGGGTAGAGCTACATGTTGAGATTTATCCACTTGCAACAACTCAGTTCAGAAACAGCAACGGGCAAGTTGATGACTTGCCGCAAGCTGATCCACAGACACAGCCGAGAGGAAGTCTGGCAAGGATAAATCACTCAACTGTACTCGGGATTCAGTAAGTCACAACACCTGTGAGGATCTGGCTATGTCGTCTTGCTCTTGTTAACTGGTTTGCCGCCATTCATTATTGCAGATGCACTTGTGCTTTTACTTGGAGTTACCCCAGCCTTTGGCACTGTTTCTCCGATATCATGCAAAGATGGTTCTCGATACATGGCAACTGAGGGGAGAGAAGAGAAAGGGAGAAGCACTTTTAAGAATGTATCGCTTGTAAGAGTTCATCTCAAATAACTACCTACGATAACAAACACTGTAATGTGTTTCTCTTGCATACCAGGGAAACTATTTATTTTGACAGACACTTGTTTTGCATCATGGATAGGTTTGCTTGACTCTCCAAAATTCTCACTTCTTCATCTCACTTAAAAACACAGTGGGAAACTACAAGCTTGCTTGTTTGATGGATACTATAGATTTTTTGAAATTAAAAGCTACTGGTCTGTCTTTGCATAAGGTAAACACTCCAAAACGTACATGTATATACACATATGTAGATATATACACTCCTTAAACAAACACGCAAGCTTTTAGAAGTGAAATATGATGAGACAGATTGTATTTAAAAAATGGGCTCATACAATACAATTGTCTAGACATGTGTTCTTTTTCAGTCATATATGAGAGTCTAGGCTAGGATCCAGTTCTACAAAGTTATGTGTACATCAGTCTCTCAAATCTAAGAAACTTGGCTATGATCTCTTCAGTTGTATCCTGAAGAAATATCTGGGAGATGTGGAGAGTACACAGGAGGCTTGAGGTTTTTTTCTTCCTCCTTTCCAAAAATATATGTAGTAACCACTGATCTCCACTGAAGGTAGAAGCACAGAAAACTCCAGATTGAACTACTAACTGAATTCTTAGAGGAATTAAAAGTTTGCCCCTGGGCTTCAGTTCCTATCTAACCACTTCAAATCCTTTGAGAAAAATACAAGTATTCAATTACACAGTTCCAGCATTAAGCTGCCTTAATGATTAATGCTCTTGGATAATTCAATTTCATTTTCCATGTCACTGAATCAGGTAATATTTCCACTTATACCTAACTTCAGTAGCATTTATTTATATCAGAGCAATGTTAAAAGAGATGTCAAAGCAGTCAAAGGAATTAATCATCACACTATGACTTTGGGACTGGCTGTGTGTTGCCATAGAGAGCACAATCCCTTCATCCCTTGGCTAATTAGAGTAGGAGACTGGAGCATCAAAGTACTGACCTTGATCCTCAATGGTGTGAAGTTTCATAATAAATACAAAGGGCCCCATAGCATCATTAACTAATCAAATACTTGTTCTAACATTTCCAGTGACATAAGCTACATACTTTTATGGCTTCTAAAAGACTGAAATTAAATGTCTTCTTTAGAGTACATAAGACTGGTTATGATCAATGTCTTCAGAGTGCCTCATAACTGTGTTTAGGGCACTTAGTTGATTAATTAAAAGAGCTTGATGAAATAACAGTGTGACCTACAAAATTATTAAGTTGAACAACATGAGATGGAAATACAAAGTAAGGAATTATATAGAAGAGTTGTCATATTTGATGACTCTTATAGGCAACACAAATCAAGTTATTTCTATGCATTTTCTAAGCTATTTTGATAGTCTGATAATCCAAATATTATTGAAAAAGTGTAACTTCTTTCCTAATTCATATTAGTTTGCATTTCTTTTAAAAATTCAATGGCTTTCCCTCTTCACATAATTTAATATAAAGGAACCAAGATACAAAGTATTAATATTGTTGAGAGCTCATGGAACTACTGGAAGCTTCCACAAGACAAGGTAAGCAAGAAGGCATCAATCTGAGTTCAAATATGAAGTTAAAACTTAGATTATTCTGATTCTTTCTTTATGATGAAACTAAAATATTTAACAAACTGATCCTCTAATCAAAAATTTACTCAGGCATGTGTTCAGATGTTAAGCAATGAGATAACTTTCAGAATGACTGAGGCTATGTGTAGCAATAAGAACAATAAAATTTGGAGTGCCATCAGGACAAGAAGTGAAAGACATCATAGACACCATAAAGGCTTGCAGAATGCATAGAATAAGACAAAAGTTCCAAGATATAAATAGATGCATTTTTCAGAGAATGTGTGACACTATTTTAGTGTGCAAGGTTACTGTTATTTGCTTCTATCTTGGTTTAAAGGCCAACTTACAAAAGTTATGCACATTACACCAATTGACAAAGTAACACAGCATGATTTATTTTATAAAGAGACCTTCGTGTTTTGTATTAGAAAGCTTTTACTTTGAAATGCTGACATTTCATCTATTCCCTATATAACTCCTGATTATCCTACGTTATTTCATTCTATTTTCTCAGTGCAAGACTCACAACAGCTTTTGTCCCTACCAACAGAATATTTTAAAAGCAGCACAATGCACTTTCACAAAAGATTTCTTTTCTTATAGGATGACCTCTTAATCCCCGGAAAAATGTTTCTACATATGCCCTTTCTATCACCACTATGCTGAACCACAAAACTGCTTCATGAATCTCTAGGACTGTCATTAGTAATGGCCCCTGGGCAAGACACACACATTCAGAAAGGGCATTTTAGAAACCATTCCCTTTTCTTGTGAGATTTATAGGAGGGAGGGTCTACCAGCAACGGACTGAGACTCACCTTCCAATGGCTTGGGTAGAAAATGAGCTGCTGGTTTTGTTTTCTTCACTCTGTTTCCTTTCATGACCTGCCCTTCTTTGTTCAGCCCCAAGAACCAGGCCCTCCCGGACTCCTGTTGTCTGTAGAGCATGGATGAGTAGATTACATAATAATTTTCAAAAACGGACTCCTTGAATTTGCACTCTGGTGTAAAAAGTTCCTGTGGGAGGAAAAGTAAATGTTAATGGTATCTCTAAAGTGGGGCTTCTGTTTTGTTAATTTACAAATACCTCCTGATAAGTTTAATATGTGACTTATAGTAAGGTTCTGCTTTGAGAACTGGAGTTCTGTCTTCCTCTGGAAGACCTCCAGGTGAACTTCCCATGGATGCCTCAGTTTTCCCCTCTGGGCAACAGTGATAGTACATTTTCAAAGTAGAAAGGAAGCTATACAGGCATAAAAACACTTTTTAAAACACAGGAAAAATTATTATTATGCCTATTTTTTTCAGATAGGATATCCTTATAAAGATTAAGAAAGGCTATGCTGAAATAGCCTTAATGAAAGTTGTTCTAACATAGTGAATGCAGCAAACTTCCTCTGGATTACAACAACTAATATTTGAAGCTCAAAATGCTGCTACTAATGTATTAAGATATATATCATTCCCTGGAATTCACATGGCCTGAAACACCACAGGAAAATACTTTTTTGATGTGCAAATTTCTAGAAAAAGAAAAATAATTCCTACTGACATTCTCAATATTCATTCCACAAGCGGAATGTTTTTTGCAAGTCATATTCAGTAACAGCAGTTGTCCTAAAACTCTCTCTATAAGTTAATCTAAACACAAACTTCTGCAGTCCAGGAGCAAAATAATAATTTAAACATAGATATATATTTTAATAATACATGTAACTGGCAAAATAAACAGCGTGAACATACATTGAGATAGAGATTACTGAATTCTTTGTAAAAAACCAGCAAGTTAATAAGCAAATAAAAATACATTTAAAATATCACAAGAAAATAAGATTCTGTGCGATGTGATTTTCTGTCTGTGGACTCATCTGCTGAAACCTGTAGAAGAAATGAGACATAAGAGGAGGAGGTAGCTGTGGAAAAAAAAGAAAAGCTTAACTTACCTTGCTGAGCTTTCAGAACGCAAAGTTCTCAGCCCTGAATACTCTTTTTATATTTCTTTTGGTTATCTTTCCCAAGCAGTAAAAAATCTGGAAACATCATATCTTTTCACTTCTCCATTCAGAGTGTTTTTTATTAATTTCTTTTTGTTCCTGGCCCCATGCAGTACTGAGTTAACACTCAGCAGGCAACCTGTTTTCAAGGTCTCTATGCCATCCCCAGCTGCCTGTATATAGTAAGAATTTCATTTCACAGCTCTTTCTGTCACAAATTTCCTTTCTGGAAATCAAAGCCCTTAAAGACACAGTTCCCCATACCAAAAAGCACAGATGAAAGACTTTTCTGAATCTGCAATAAATGTCACTTAGTGCACAACCAAGTTCTTATAACATGATGGGGTACACAGTATTCGTACTACCATGGCTTCAGTTACCACCAGTAAGCAAAGCTGTCTTGATGAACACCAGGCACACTATTAGCATTCTCAATTACGGAGCATCTTTAAACCTCAGATAAAAAGAATTGATGTATTTTATGCAGCGACAGACTACAAGCAGTTGCTGGAGCATCTGGGAAATAATCTGTGAGCCTGCCCTAAAATAGGTTGCTTTGGCTGTGTGAGCCAGTACACTTAGTGTCTATAGGTCACACTCATTCACAGGATGCAAAAAAATTTTTCTGATGCGTGTGATGGGCATCTTTTTGCACTACAGCTTTTTTACCCCCTATGTGCACAACTGCATCTATCTATCTATCTATCTCTATCTATATATGCATACACACACATGCATAAATGCAAATACAGTCTGTAATAGAAGCACTGAATACTAACGACAGGAAGCACCTTAATGGCACCTTCTCCTTTGCCATGGGGCTTTTTCTCTCTCTGTTCGAAGACTTTAAGACACCTGTTGTTTGTGTTACTCTCCTTTCTCCTTCACTGATTTCAAATCACAGAAGCGCTCAAGAAGACTGAAAATAAAACCAGAAGGCAGGGTGGCATGCTAGAGGGAATGCCTGTTAAAACCTAGCACAAGCATTTACATGCGAGTCATGCTCCTCAGCTGTTGAAACAGCAGATGCTAATCAGGAAATGCCTACACAGCTCTCCTCATTACCTACTTCACTGAAAATGCTACCCCCTGTGTTCCCCATGAAGTTTTACTTCCTTGTAAAGCTCAATTACCATAAACACTACTCCTTAGCCAATACTCACATTTTTTTTTGCTATAAACAAAAGCTGTTTGTCATTCTATATTCCTCCGTACTAGAGACGGTTGGCTGCCTCTAAACACTATTTGTGTGTTTTCCCTAACAATATCCATTACCCTACTTTAACTAGATTCCTTCAAATCATATCCCTTCTCTGAATCAAACCTGGCTCTTTCCTCTCTCAGTTCTTTGGCATGTGCCATATGTTTATGACAGTGCACAGCACATGAAATAGTAGGTATTTACCAGGTGAAAAAAAATGGATTATTTCTACGCTGTTACTTGGCTACTCCTGGACAAACTGTCATCATTACTATTATGTAATTATGAAAAACATAGTAATAGTCTGATTTTTTTCTTCCCCCTTCAAGGAACAGTCAAACCTGAATAATGTAATCTGCCTAAAAGTACTGCAGCTATCCAACTCCACATATCTGGGTAGTGGAACAGCTTTGGACAGGGTTTGCTTTCATCCAGTATATTAGGATGCAATTCTGCTGGGTTAAACACTCAGTCAAAAAGTCCCTTAAACATATGTTACTTTAAAGTAGAATAATAATTCTACTGATGTGGGGAGTATTCATGAATGGAAATTAGGTACCTGACAATTACCATACTGAACTGCAGCCATCAGCTCCTCTGAGAAAAGAGATAGGCAAAAGGAGACTTTTGAAAGGTCCATTTTCCCTGGGACTCAGCTGGAAATTGAGTATTTCTAAGTTAAACGTGATGCCTAAAGTCTTGCCTCAGACACCATCTCAGCTGGCTGAAAAGCTATAAACGTCTACACTTTCATCAGTAAAGTAGCCATAACACATAAGATATTGTTTGTGCAAACATCTAAGATATTATTTGTGCATGTTTTCATGTACCTAGAGAAGTCTAGATCTGTATCTCTAATACTCAACCCAGTAAGAATTCTCAGAAAATTACCAATGTGCTAAACAGCACCAGCTTAAAAAAGTCATCCACAGGTGACTTTACTGAAATCCATTGCTGGAGGGAAAGGCAGTATAATGGCATCTTTTTAAGGGAAACTCAGTGGTGAGGGCACTCCCCTAGGCTATCTGCCTATCTGTACCCAATCTGAAGGAATCCAATCTGCCTCTGGCTGACAAGAATAATTTAGATCTTCCCTACAAGAATGACTTTTTGGGGTTTGATCCCAGGACATTTTGTATTAGGAAGTGGCATGACTTGCAAACAACAACTTGTACTCAGGATTTCTCTTCCAAGGTCAATGCCCAGGTTTAACCTGTAGTTTTATATAAAAAAGTGGTTTTAACCTGTCAAAGCAACATTTGAAAAATAAAATATATACCAGCTGCCAATTTCCAAAACCTTAGGAATAGTTTTTGACTGTGAACTGCAATCTGATACAGTGTCCTGCGTCCTGGGGAAAGGAAGGATGTATGAAACTGCATCTTGCTGAGGAAAGATTTTCACTTGGATATTTTTGCTAGATTCTCATCAAGCTTTTGCTTGATGTGAGTCCTGTGTAGAGATATTTTAATTCTTCTGGTTGCAGTAGCATTAATACATATCACAACACACAGATCATGGATTCAAACTTGTGGAATCAAAAGTTCTGTTACTGGGGAGTTCTTAGTTTTGGGGCCCCCAGCTGTGTCACCAAATCTCAGCATTGTATTACTCCCTAATGACGGGGGCTTTGCTAGTGGAATCATGTGGTAATGTCAGAATCTACTTTCATATAAGAAAAAAACAAAAAAAAAGAAATAAAATTAAAAAAAACCACATTATCAATTTCTCGCATCTGGGAGTGCCTGAACAACAGAGCTCAGGCTACTTGTGGTGTCAACATGGAGATATAAGGAATGTTGGAAAGTAATTCAATTGAGATGAATTCTTTACCAAGTAATGTCTTTCTGTCAAACAAAGGCTGAAGTCTGACATGATGAATCTAGGCCTTAATGCCATTCAATAACATGGCAGGCATAGTAGCAAATGGCTAAATCAAAGTACAGGGGTTACCACTGTATTTCTCAGTGTGGGAGGGGAGAATGCTGCAGGAATCGAGGTGTGAAATGATGAGATCCCAGAAAACAGCTGCAGTGCAGTGAAAGGGCAAAAGGCCTTGTCACATAGACACATTTCTGCAGCAAAATCTGTAGGATCTCAAGGCTTCTTCTGCACATGAGTCCTGGAATACATCTAAATTGATACTTCTCTGACTTGCTGCACACTGAATTAGTTGAGTTAGACTACCATCTTACAGTATACCTATTTGACAAATGCTGCTGTAAGAAAAAGAACAAATTAAGATTTCCCATCCACAGTACCACATTTTTCCCATACTTAAGTTGGCCAGAAGTCTGCAGTTCAAAATGATCTTGTGCATTAGTTCCTCTTCAAATGGCAGAAAACACAGCAACACGTGGTTACGTACCTTATGGAATAAGGAGAAATTTATATTTATTTTCTGTATGTTCAGAAGACATTTAGTGGATCCGGGCCTAAAAGGCCTCTAAAAAACCCATAATTTTTAAACACAAAAACAACAACAAGCAAAGCTGGCAGAATTTTCTATGTGCAAACTGGCCACAAAAGATATCGAGAAACACAAGACTTTAGCTACCACTACAGACTTTGTGGTCGCTTTACTAACAAAAGATCAAAATATACAGCAGTACTAGCTAAACTTGGCAATCCTACAGATGTGCCATGAAAGCAGCAAATACTCAGAATGACTTTCACATACTTTACGCCATCTTCTGATGGAAAATTTCCTTAATAGATTACAACAGTCAGAGAACACCATTATTGGCTCTTCTAAGTTGATGTTATTTCTGTTCTCTGGAAGATTACTAAACGTGGACTTAAAAAGAAAATTAAAAAAACAG